CTTCTCTAAATCAGGGATGTCCCTGGAAAATATGGTCTGAGCCCCTCCAGAGCTTCTGCCCTTGCAAGGCACCATCCTTGTTGCTACCTTGCTGTGTCCCCTCTACCTCCCAGTAAGCAGCGGTGGTCCAATTGACCAGAGGTCAGATAAGTGGCATCCCTCCATCATGCCATCCACCGCTATTCATTAGAGTTTGGGCCTAGATTTGGATCAAATTAGACTCAACCACAAAGACGGCACACTTCTCCTGGTTAGGGCTCCAGCTAATTAATTCCCATTACCTTATAAACAGGCGTTCCAGTGCTTAGTTGAGGAAGATGAGTATTCCAATTTGAGAAGTGGAATGCCAGGCAGTCTGATACATTAGGAAAAGCTCGAGATACTGACTTGGCAACATTTCTCCCCCTTTTTCCCTCCCCTCGTGCATCTCACTCTGCTTGCGAAATACTGGCATTGAAGATAAATTTGAAATAGACTATTAGTGACCAATAGCTCTTCCCAGCCATGCAACAGGATCCGAATTAAGTTCAAAGAAATGCTAATTAACTTAAAGTGCACTGACTACCTGGAGTGACATGAGTTCAAAGGCATATATGCCAGGTTTCTTTTCCTTGGCCAGAACTATAATCAGAAGATTTTAGTGCAGATTGATATCCAAAACAGTGAATACTTTGATCCCACAATTTCTTGGAGATCAAAGATTCACATGTACTGCTGTATTTAAGTAGGCTTGAGCATGATGCAAATGTATCAGCAAGTTCATATCTGACCCTCTTTCAGGTGCATAGAGATTCATATTTATTTATTTATTTATTGCCTTTGAACAAGGTTTCTTATTTCTGAACTTTTATATAAAATGTGGGAAGAGCTAAGCCAAAACTAGGGATGGGGGAGGGGCAGAAATGTATTAGATTCACATTCTAAGCAGAACCCGAATAATTCACACTTCCTTAACCAATACATGAACCACATTGCTGCCATTCTTTGAAAGTCACCTGTCTGAATGTTGCAATTTAGTTCCACAACCAAAAATTGTGTATATCAGAGGAAGGTGTGCACAGAAAGTTGTACATTATTGAGAAATACATTTTTTTAAAGTAAAGGAAATCATTTCTTCTTTTTAAAAAGTTTTTTATAGTCCTTCAAGGAAGGACTTCCTCCTTGAAGGAAAAAAAAAGTTTAGGAAGATTTAAAATTCACAGCATGCTGAACATTGAAAGAAAATTATATGAAAATGATGTACTGTTGGTACTTAACTCCTATGAGCTCAGCAAAAACGTATGGAACTGCTACAAATATATGCTGGAAATGTAAAGAGAAAAAAGGCACTTCCTACCACATCTGGTGGATGTGCAAAATAACAAAAGCATTCTGGGAAATGATATATAACGAGCTGAAAAACATGTTTAAAATAACCTTTGTGGAAAAAACCAGAAGCTTTTCTATTAGGAATTATAGGTGGTGAAATAGCAAAGGAGCAGAAAAGACTATTTATGCATGCAACGACAGCTCTGAAGATGCTTTTCGCACAAAGATGGAAGGAAGATAAGAACCAGAGAAGAATGGATAATCCAACCAGAGAAGAAGGGATAATCAAGATGATGGACTATGCCGGAATGGCAAAACTGACAAAGAGAATCAGAAACCAAGAAGCTAAGAAATTTAATAAAGAATGGAAAAAATATATATAGATTACTTTAAAGAACACTGTACACAGTTAAAAACATTAGCAGGATTAATATAACACTTGTAATAATTCTATGGTTATAAATGGGAATTTGAACACAGTTTGGATAATATTATAAGATGCAGTGTAAAGCGAATGACTATGGAAACCACGGGGGGGGGGGCGAGTCCAAGGATTCAGGGAATCCTATATATGTATAAAATTGGTTATATTTGAATGTAAACGATATTTGTAAAAAAAATTAAAAAGAAATTTTAAAAAGAATGAACATGTTTAGCTGTTCGTTTTCATTGTCCTTCCTTGTTCTGGGTCTCAGATGATTCGCTTATTGGCTGGGATTATTCATTTGGGATATTGATGTACCATCCTAGATGGATTTCCTAGGACATTCCTCAACTTGCATAATCTAAAGAGAAAAGAGGACTCACTGGTAGACCAACAGCTAGAAGAAGCCATGATTATTTATAAATCACTCAATAAAAAAAGAATGAAATCTGACCAAATGCATGTTGAGCCTTTTGCCTATTTCTAATTGTTCATCTTAGTTACTGTTGTAATACCAGTCCTGTGTTGATTTCATTTGTGGTATTTGGTCCAGCGCCGAGGGCCTTCTGGCGGTTCCCTCACTGCGAGGGAAGCTATCTGTAAGCTATTTGTTCACTGCCAAGTTACAGGGAACCAGGCAGAGGGCCTTCTCAGTAGTGGCACCTGCCCTGTGGAACGCCCTCCCAGCAGATGTCAAAGAGAAGAACAACGACCAGACTTTTAGAAGAAATCTGAAGGCAGCCTTGTTTAAGGAAGCTTTAAATGTTTGATGTATTACTGTATTTTAATATTTGGTTGGAAGCCGCCCAGAGTGGCTAGGGAAGCCCAGCCAGATGGACAGGGTATAAATAATAAATTATTATTATTATTATTATTATTATTATTATTATTATTTGGAAGTTCAGGTCCCAGTTTGTTCAAAATCACCTCTCTTTGTTTGCTGGGACTTCTTTCCTTTCTGTTTGCCTGCTAAGCCTGACACAGCCTGATCCAAACGGATCTTCAGAATCGTGAGCAACTGCCCCAGCTGGAGCTCAACTCAAATTAGATCCCGGATGAAACCCCTTTGCTTGAGGTGGACTTCGTATTCTAGATCCAGGAGCTGCTGGCCATCTGTAACTTCAGTTTCTCTGAAGTTTTCAAAGCTCTGCGAGAAACCTAGGCTCATTTGATACACCGCGCTCCTTCCCGCCCACTCTGTCTGCTGGATATAAATAAATAAAAGCATTGAGCTAGGCTTTGCCCTGCTGTATTTATTGGAGTGTACGCTGTACACATGTCAATAAAGCCTTGCGCTGGCTACTCTGTTCTTTAACTCCAAATCAAATCAACCTTTGGCCTTTGTAGGTGTTTGTGAAGCTGGGAGAAGGGCACACAAGACAGCTTCAGTAGGAACCAGAGATCCTGCGTTACATGTTCACTGGTCACTCAGTTCATCCACCAAATATATACCAGTTCCTGTAGATCTGAGCAGAATGAATATGTTTCAGCTCCCTGATATTCACACAAGGCAAGGTTTCTGGGATTCTCATCCTGTGCGGACAGAGGGGAAAGCATTTGTTGTAGCCGTCGTACTAACCCTCTCGCTTATGTACCTCCCCTCCCAAGTCGTCAGCCACAAGTGAGGTTGTAAGTACGTACGTTGATAATGAAATGAGCATTAAGCTCCACAAAGCAATAAAGACTGGCTTGAGAAATGCTGGCAACTCATCAGTTTAATCTTACTCATTTTGATAAGCTTTTTCTTTTTTCTTTTTTTGCAGATCGGGGAAAGGTAGTTTGGGTTTTTGAACGTTACTTCAAGGAAGGAGGAAATTGGTTTGGGGGTTTCTGAATACACTGGAAAATGTGATGCTTCAGAATTATATCCCTCTGCCCCCCCCCCAAAAAAAACACACAACAACAACCCCTGCCCCACTGTCTCTCCATCTTGTTTGCAACCCTGGGCTTGGTGAACACCCCCTGCAGTCAATTCCCAGGGGTAAAGAGGGAGAAGGGAGGCAATTGTCCAACTGTCTGCCAGATATACCTATCAAATTATTCATTTCTCAGGCTGCTTAAGGTAATTTAAATTCATAGCTTTTCAAACCACTGACAAGGCTTGCACACTGTGAAGAAAATGAATATTGTTAAGGGTTAAATGGACAGCTTCACACTTTCAACACATTATAAATTCACCACAGGCAGGCTCTGTGTGTGTGTGTGTGTGTGTGAGAGAGAGAGAGAGAGAGAGAGAGAGAGAGAGAGAGAGAGAGAGAATATTTTTCTCCTCATTATTTTATTTTACAATCAGGGATTCTTTTGTAATTGCAGGCTGTGATGACGATTTCCATGACAAGAGGAGAATTCAAACAAATGTGGCCAAACACATAAGACAAAACAAAAATTTGCTATGCAAAGGGGGGAATCCTGCCGTTCAGATGGTAAAGCCCACAGACAGAAGGTTCGTCTTTTTGTATGATCATGCATTCATCCAATTGAAATTATTATTTTTTGTACACATGATCACTCCCTCTAATAGTGAGTTCCTGTGGTGTGTGCCAATAAGACCAAGGCCCAAAAGGGGCTACTGTGTGAAAAAGAAGAGCTTGTGTGTGCATGTGTGTGTTATATATAGTAATATAATTCACTGAAATTGTAAATACAGTATTTTTCGCTCTATAAGACGCACCAGACCACAAGACGCACCTAGTTTTTGGAGGAGGAAAACAGGAAAAAAAATATTCTGAATCTCAGAAGCCAGAACAGCAAGGGGGATCGCTGCGCAGTGAAAGCAGCGATCCCTCTTGCTGTTCTGGCTCCTGGGATAGCTGCGCAGCCTGCATTCGCTCCATAAGACGCACATACATTTCCCTTTTCTTTTTAGGAGGGAAAAAGTGAGTCTTATAGAGCAAAAAATACGGTACTTGTATGCATTACAATGTGTCTAAATTGGATTGGTTGGTAACTGAAATTTAGAGAGTTCTGCAGTAGTTCTCATGTGACTGGCTAGCATTGGTAACATGGGAGGTATCTAGTGAAGGAGACACTCCATCTTATGCGAAGCAAGATGACTCTGTTTTAGATCCACTGTGAACACTGCTAAGTTGGATAGAGTGTTGGAATGCTTCTTCTCTGCTGGAAAGAAAGAGAGCAAAGCTGCAGGACCATTGGTTCAGTATCAAGTTCAGTATCACCGACATCAGAAGTGCAGACATTAGGCTTCGAGGTCTACTCTGTCACACACACACACACACCCCGGAACATAAATGAAGCCCAGATGGCTATTGGATAGCTCAGCTGGTAGAGCATGACACTTCATCTCAGGGTTGTGGGTTCGAGCCCCACGTTGGACAAAAGGATTCCTGCATTGCAGGGAGTTGGACCAGACTAGAAGACCCTCATGGTCCTTTCCAACAGGTTTTCCCAATAGTGAAGTATGGAAGTGAGAGCTGGACCATCAAGAAGGCTGATATCTAAAGAATTGATGCTTTTGAATTATGGTGCTGGAGGAGACTCTTGAGAGTCCCATGGACTGCAAGAAGATCAAACCTATCCATTCTGAAGGAAATCAGCCCGGAGTGCTCACTGAAAGGACAGATTGTGAAGCTGAGGCTCCAATACTTTGGCCTCCTCATGAGAAGAGAAGACTCCCTGGAAAAGACCCTGATGTTGGGAAAGATGGAGGGCACAAGGAGAAGGGGACGACAGAGGACGAGATGGTTGGACAGTGTTCTCGAAGCTACAAGCATGAGTTTGACCAAACTGCGGGAGGCAGTGGAAGACAGGAGTGCCTGGCGTGCTCTGGTCCATGGGGTCACAAAGAGTCAGACACAACTAAACGACTAAACAAACAAACAAAAAACATGTTTCTATGTAAAAGGGGGGATATGGGAGGTAATATCAATTCCTTGCCACATCTCCGAAGCCTTATGGGGTGAGCCACATTTGAAAGTACCAATCTATATTTGACTTATTACAGATCATAGAATCTAATTGACTGATTTAGAAGGGGGGAAGCCTTTTTTTGCTGTTAAATAACAGGGCGTCAGAAATTATTTCCTACTTGCTGTAGATCATCCAGCGACATAAAAGACTCCAAGCTGTCTGGTCTCACCCCTGGTCTACACTGATGGGAAGTGGATCTCCAAAATTTCAGCCAGTAGTTAGACCTTCCCAACCCTACCTGGAGAAACCTGGTGGATTAAATACAGTGGATGCTCGGGTTGCGAACGTGATCCATGCTGGAGGCACGTTCGCAACCCGCAGTGTTCGCAACCCGCAGTGCCAAGTCTGCGCATGTGCGGGTTGCGATTCGGTGATTTGGCGCATGTGCAAAGCGTGTTCTAGTATTTCTGCACATGCGCGAGCGCTGAAACCAGGAAGTAACCCGTGCCGGTACTTCCAGGTTTTGGCGGGTCCATAACCCGAAAAACCACAACCTGAAGCATCTGTAACCCGAGGTATGACTGTATGGGGGGGTTTTATGTAAAGCATGTACTCTACCACAGATCCCTCAGTTTCTACATTAATTCTGGCCGTTCCTCCTCTGAGGCAGTCCCTGCATTGAGTATGACAGAGAAAGCCAAACACACTTGGTGGAATTGTCCTCCCACCAGCAGAGGCTTATTGGAAGGTTTCAATGTCAGAACAATGAATCATTTAAGGATGTAGTGGGCAGCATGCACACACGCGCACACTGTGTTGTGCCACACAGTGGGGGACTGAACAATCTAGTGGGGAAACCTTGTTGAAAATTGGGTGGGAAACTTGCATTTCATCATTTCACTGTTTCATAGAACTTTAGAAATCAGAAAATGTGCTTACGTATTTGTCTAACAGGAGAAGCTGAAAAAATTAGCCTGCTGGAAGTCAGAGAAAGGGTGTAGGGAAGCATTTTTGCCTTTTCATCATTTTAACACAAATGAGATACAACATGAAAACAGAGCTTAGCTTAGCTTTGTGTGTCATGTCATGCAATTATGCTCGAGATTGTGTGTAGTGAGGAATAATTACTGAAGCATAGATAGATAGATGGATAGATAGATAGATAAGATAGAGAGATAAGATAGAGAGATAGTGAGATAGAGAGATAACCAACCACAGAGATTAAGCACAGTGTAAACTGATTTGGGCAGACAATAACATATATAAATTGTTTAATCCACAACCCAAGGCTGAAATGCTAGCAACTGACACTGGCCTGATTCTCAAGAAGCCTCTTCAATCTTTCCGAACTGCAGAAGCAAAGAGCTCCCCCTCTCAAAGATTAGAAAACAGTATTTTGGCTAAATAGCAATGCCGTGTGGATTAAATGATGACCGAAGTCAATCTGGACATGACCTGACAGTTTTGCAAACATTTTCAGTGTCAAGTGAGCAACCGAGACCTTTTTGCACTGACTGTGATTACTGCAACCTGCGTGGGCAGAGGCTTCTTAGGCTCTGAGAGCCAGTGTGGTGTAGTGGTTAAGAGCAGTAGTCACGTAATCTGGGGAACCGGGTTCGCGTTTCCGCTCTCCACATGCAGCTGCTGGGTGACCTTGGGCTAGTCACACTTCTTTGAAGTCTCTCAGCCCCACTCACCTCACAGAGTGTTTGTTGTGGGGGAGGAAGGGAAAGGAGATTGTTAGCCGCTTTGAGACTCCTGAAGGGGAGTGAAAGGCGGGATATCAAATCCAAACTCTTCTTCTTCTTCTCTTCTTCCTTGCCAAGAGAGAGGACAAACGAGGACAGTGATTTGCATACACTTTGCAAATGCTAACTTCTACGGATAGATGCAAATTCGGAAATAATTGCTGTCATTTAAACTGAACTGTGATACATTTCACCGCAGCAGGGAAGAGAGTGATCAGGTGACTTGCATACCTGCTCAGTCTGCTGCCCAGGTGCTAACTGGTGATGAGCAACTTCTCTACACCAGAGTATGGTTACCAGATTTTTTTTCAATGAACTCAGGGATCCTTTTTTTCTTTTTTTGGAAGCTGAGTAGCAACAGGGAGTCAGCAGTGGGGATGGTGAGGCAAAAAACCCTGAGCCCAAGCACAAATGCATATTGTATAAAGGTGCAAAGCCCTTCTTTCGCACCCTGTGAACCATAAATGTGCAGAGTTTTTTAAAAACTGGGCAACGGCGCACCGCCCACCTGTGACTCCCGAGCTTCCCCCGATCTCCTGCCCCCTTTCCCCCTTCGTTTTGACTGATCGGGGGAGGCCTGGTAGTCGTGAGCGGCCGGCCATTCCCCGGTTTTATTAAAATTCTGTGCATTTATGTTTCACAGGGTGCAAAAGAAAGGCTTTGCACCTTGCCTGGCAGAGAAACTGCGCGCCTTCCACCCCTCCTGGGCAACGGCTGCCAGCCCGTGACTTACGAGCCTCCCCCGATCTGTCAAAACAAAGGGGGAAGGGGGCAGGAGATCTGTACTGCCAGACATCCCTGGTTCTCCCTTGGCAGTGGTGGCGGCAGTGAGCAGCTCCTGAAGCCAAGTGCGCTACCAAGCTGGCTCTGGGCTGCTGAGGCTGCCGCTGCCATGTTTCCTGGGGACAGATTTGCAAATCTGGGGACATTCTGGGGATGCAATTTGTCCGGGGACAGATTTGCAGATCCGGGGACACCTGGTAACCCTACACCAGAGCAGACTCTTACCCTGGAGGGTCTGGAACAACTTCCACCCACTCACTTCCAGCTAGAGAACATAACATGTGGAATACCGAACCACCAAAACACCTGATAAAGAAACAATCAGCAGCAGTAGCAGCAGACACAAACATTATGCCTCTGAAGGTCACCATAAACTAAAAATGTTGTGGCCAACCAGATACTAGGCTTTCCTTTTCCACCGTTGGCCAGCTCCATCTCACGCTGCATTGATGGCTGGTTGGCCAGCACCTCATGCTCAGCTGCTCACCCTTGGCTGGGAGCTCCAGGATGCTTTTGTCCTACGGCTCTTGTCCTTGCCAGGCACAAGATTTAAATGCAATACCTGGGAGCTGGGAGGAGGGGGACACCATTTTCAGTCAGGAGCCCAGCTGAAATCTCCTTCCACTGCATGAAAGGTTTCTAAAAAGTCAAAAGGTATGTCGCGCAGAGGACCCTAAAGTCCATGAATAATAATAGCTTAAAGGTCCCGGGTCCTAAGGAAGCCAGACTATCCTCCACCAAGGCCAGGGCTTTTCAGTGATGGCTCCGACCTGGTGGACTGCTCTGTCCCATGAGACTAGAGCCCTGCAGGACTTGATCTCCTTCCGCAGGACCTGTAAGACAGAGCTATTCCGCCTGGCCTTCAATTTGAATTAGCCTGATCCTCTATTCCCTTTTCCCTTTCCTCTTCTATGAAGAAACCCTTTCTGGGACCCCACATTTAAATTCTTATTCACACACCTCCTTGCTGGCCCTAGTAGGACCAACTTGGCTAGTTAGCCCTGGTGATCATTCAATGTCTACTGACTGGGTTCCCCCCAAAAGATTGACCCCTGAATTTTTGAATTTTATTGATATTGATGCTGCATTTTATGTTGTATTCTATGCTGTTATATGCTGTTTTTAAGTCACATTTTAATCAGTGTTTTATATTTGCTGTTAGCCACCCTGAGCCCGGTTCTTAAACCGGGAAGGGCGGGGTATAAATAATTTTTATTATTATTATTATTATTAAAAGTGGGTGCAGAGTTCCCAGTAGGGAAGTTGAATCACAAGGAGAAAAATTGAACAGGTGGCAGCAAGGAGGCAAACCCACTGAGGACATAATGACTTGTTGTTGTTTAGTCGTTTAGTTGTGTCCGACTCTTCGTGACCCCATGGACCAGAGCATGCCAGGCACTTCTGTCTTCCACTGCCTCCCGCAGTTTAGTCAAACTCATGCTGGTAGCTTCAAGAATACTATCCAGCCATCTTGTCCTCTGTTGTCCCCTTCTCCTTGTGCCCTCCATCTTTCCCAACATCAGGGTCTTTCCCAGGGAGTCTTCTCTTCTCATGAGGTAGCCAAAGTATTGGAGTCTCAGCTTCAGGATCTGTCCTTCCAGTGAGCACTCCGGGCTAATTTCCTTCAGAATGGATAGGTTTGATCTTCTTGCAGACCATGGGACTCTCAAGTCTCCTCCAGCACCATAATTCAAAAGCATCAATTCTTCGGCGATCAGCCTTCTTGATGGTCCAGCTCTCACTTCCATACATCACTACTGGGAAAACCATAGCTTCATGGATCACTGCCTTGCTGTGGCGAAGGGGCTTGAATAACACAGAGAAGCTATGAACTATGCCAAGCAGGGCATCCAAGATGGACAGGTCATAGTGGAGAGTTTTGACCAAACGTGATCCACCTGGAGGAGGAACCGGAAAGCCACTCCAGTATCCCTGCC